CAAATACACACTTGTGTGTGTGTGAAAAGCTTGGCAAGCTGAAGTTTGATCACGTCAGAATTGTTTCATGGTTCTACTGAAATGTCTCTGTCATTGAAATGCTGGACTGCAATACAACGGCTACCTTGGGTGTCAGGAGGTTCATTATAGTCTTGGTTCCAAGACCTTCCAGTTGTTCCATGACACCGTGAGCCATCACATGTACTGTACATACACATCTACACGTACAGGGCAAATGTACACCTCACAAATGGCTTCCTGTGATAATGATTTGTGTGGTGATAGCACCCTCTAAGTGTTACGTGTGTGGTTCGTGTCGCGGAATAACTACTGGAAGGTCTTGGAACCAAGACTGGGAGGTTCACTGAAAAAAATTAATTTTACTGACATTCACTTCATAGATCACATGGGTTTTAATATTTCCCACATTGAGGGACATTGCTTTGAAGGTTATACGTTTCTTGAGGAAGCTTGGTCAATCTTTGCCAAAGTTACATATGCTCTTTTCCCTTGTGACAAAATAATAAGAGTGTGCTCTTCTTGGCTGTCACAAATACCGAACAGCAAATTACAGCAATACTGTGCAGGGCCTGCCCGCAGTTTAGGTGCAACAAGTAAAAATGATATCGTCTGTAATTTATGATTTACAAAATATGCCTGTTATTTCATTTTATACTTACATGTCAGAGTTTTATTTTAAAGAAGCATTCATTGTAAGCACAAGGAAAAAAGTTTGAGAAGTACATGAGTCACATTTATCTGTTAATGTGAATTTTGTTTAGAATAGAATACTGCACAATGATCAATATATCTGGTACAGGTATAACTGGAAACTTTTGAGATGCTTTTGTCATGTTCATCGAGGGCGCTGTTTAAAATAGAAACAGTTAATTACTTCAATTATTTGCAAAATTTTGATGCAGAAAATTGATTGAATAAACACATTATGAAAACTGGCCTGCAGCAATTTTGGATCGTGTTCTTTTTGGCAATATGACAAATTTAGTTGTTAAAACAATGTTTATGTTGCAGAATTGAGCTTTTGAGGAAAGCAAGTGTCCTAACCATTCATTTTCATGAACCGGGCATTTTATTTAGGATATGGCTGAAATCAAGGGAAGCACAAGAACAGTTATTTAGCAAGTACATGTAATCCATGGAGAATTTGCTTAGGATCTGTTGTATTGTAGAAGAAAGTGTGATACTTAATGGTGGTGTTGTAGTTGAGTCCATCACAGGATCTCCAACCAGAGCTTAATTGTTATTGAGAGAGTTGCGACATGAGTGTCTCCAATGTGGGAACCAAAATGGTGGATTATGCAGCAGTGCACATGGACAATTAGCACATAATAGCTGCATGCTGTACTTCACACTTAATGAACAGCCATTTTGGTTCCAAAGTCGGAAGTTGGCACTACTCTCTCTATATACAGCTCTGGCTCCAACAAAATAATTATCCATTCAGTGTTGTAGTCGAGACCATCACGAGACCTACACAAGACCCAAGCCCGAATTCAAGTCACAAGCTTATTCAAATGAACTCCAACAAATGTATTCCTTTGTCATTGTTCACCCTATTACTTGTGACTGGTCCTGTGAAAGGGCTTGTACATGGTCTTGACTACACCACTGCACCGTCATCACATTATTCAGTCTTGAGGCAAGTCACAAGTCATTGAAACAAACTCTGAGTAAAGTATTTCTTTGTCATTACTCGTGACTGGTCTTGTGAAAGGATTTGCAACTAGACATTTGAGTGACTTGACTTCAGCACTGTTCAGTGGTTTACTTTTGTGTTGATTTCAGATGTGAACATTTCATGAGGCAAGCTACCCTAGCAGTCCTCAATTCTTCAACAGCTGGAAGATTGAGAACAGTTAGGGTTGAGGTGCCAGTCTCTTGCATTGATGCTGTGGTTTTCAAGTACTGTGAATCCTGATTGTGTGCCTGTAATTCATGTTGAGCTGAATATCCAATACATTCTGGTAATGGTGCTGATGATGTGGCCTTTGCAAAAAGTGGCATTTAAGTTCAATAAAGGCTAACTTAGAAATGCAAACCAGATTCATTTTGGCTGTTTGTTCTTTGCCATATTAAGATATGAGATTTTGGTTGCATGATATTGGTTTCTTGAAGTGGATGAGACTATGACTGTTGTACAGCTGATTCTGTATCCAAGTGATAGTTTTCTTTCACTTGCCTACCTTCATTATTAAGGCCTATCTCACAGCTGTGGAATCGTTGCCCACAGAGTACATAAGTTGGCACCCCTTTTCAAGTTCGACCTATTCGTCCCAGTATTAACACAAAAAATGGCAAAATTTTTAAAGGAACATTTATATGTACATGTAAAATAAACCCTTTTTTGCTTATAATTAAACACATTTTTACATTTGACCTCACAAACCCACAGGTATGTATTTTAAGGCGATTTTTGGGGGGTCTGGGTTGATGAGGATCTTTTGATTGGGGTATTTCAGTTACTCTGCTGTTTTGCCTCATAAGAAAGAAAAAAATGTGATACTTGTACAGTTTGTATATCCTATTAATACTTTTTTACCCTTTAAAAAAATCAACTCCCCACCAATATTTATGTTTCCACATAAGTCATCTTTGTGTACCAAATCTCATTTGTTATAATATAGCCTTTTGAAAGAACTTCAGCATTAACACGTACACCAATTAAAATAATGGAATCCCCAGCTCGTGTGAAATTGAGAACTGGTCTCCCCACTTTTTATCCATCCACTACTTAATTTTGATAGAAATGGATGGGACTGTGCTTTATTTAGGATGCAGAGCGCCCTCTGTTGCATAACGTAACTTAAATATTTAAGGCTACGGATTATCTTTAATCCCATGGTGTAAAATCAAAGTCGTAGCCGAAATCGTCCAATTACCGGCTTCCCCTATACCAGACGCGTCTAGTTCCCTGAATCACTGAGGGATATCTCATTGGGTTTAGGCTTTCATGTCGAGGCGAGTCAGCTCATGTAAACATCATCAGCGCACACAGTGTTAATCGATCAGTGAAAGTTGTGAAAGGTATGGTACAACGTGTCAGCTTTCCGACTTGCCTGGATGCATAGTGAGCGATTGGTCCATAGCTTGGCGCTAGGCAGAGGGTAAAGAGCTTGAATCTCCAGAGTACGGTATTTTCTTAGAAATGGCTCGATTTAGAACTAAAAAGTGTTTGCTGGTCGTGAGTGTGGCTGTGGTGATTTTGTTCATGGTCAAGACATTTTTGATGGCCGGGGAGATGTCGGGGAGTGGAGATGACAGCGGGCTTGACGGGAAGCAGCCGCCCGGCGGCAGGCCTAACGAGCACCATCAAGATGGTAACAAAATGGTATGCTTTCAAGTTGTAAGACTAAATTTACTCATGGTTTCCGTATACTTGCCTAATGTCTGACAGTACAAGTGACCATGGTCAATGGTGACTGACAGACTGTTGTCAATAAGGATGATTTCTCAGACTGCAAAACCTTGTTGAGGCCAAAGTATTCGTCACAAGTCACAAATGATTGTAAATTACTGTCACTCCCACTCCCACTGTACCTTCCTCCATGGTCTAACATATGAAAAAAAAATTTGCTTATTCTCATGAGTGACATTTTGGGAAATTTGTCCGTTTGTTTCTCAGCTCGAACATGTCGGATGTCATTAGCATCAGGGTTGCATTTCAGGCCTAGGCCTACTTGAGCTAGACTAGACCTACATGTAGGCCTACGAGTAGTACTAAATCCAAATTTTTGAGATTTACATGATGTAAGACTTCAAAGCTGATGGTCTTGTACTCTTGTTGAATTTAATAATTAATTTTAAAACCCCTGTCACTTGTGGAAGTAGTTAGCTCTTAGTGGTGGTACACCGTAAAAGGGGTCTAATTAAAAGGATTCACTATTGTGACCAAGAACCATTGTACACGCACATTTGTACATGTAAATTTGACATTACAATTGTCCCCAGCCGTGTTAAAAAAAGTAATACATGTATGCCGTCTTTCTCAGAAAAAAAGTGGCAGGTACTGGTAGAGTGCCCTTCATCAACAATGGCTTTGCCTAGTGTGATTTTGACCTAACAAATCCCAAGTACTGAAAAAATACATGAGATCCTTGCCTGATGTACATGTACATGTACATGTGCAACAGTAATCTTACACTGGTGTTTCTACAGAGAGTGAAACAGATTCAAATAATTTGTAAAAATAATCCAAGAACCTCATTCACAATCACAGTGTCGTCCATTATGCTTGATACCAGTAGCTATTCTTAATTTGTCCCTTTATACTTTAAGCTGGAATTTTGATTGATATTTTTGACCTCTTATTATATATTTTTTTTGAAATGGCAAATTACATGATTCAACACAGAATTCGAGGCAATTATTTTGGTTTGCTCATGACTGTACATTTATGTCAGTCTCCAGATGTCTTCAATTGATTCCCAGTTTCTCAAGCAAATATCTGTCAGTTATCTGTGCATGGTTCATGTATTGGCATGCATGTACATATGTATGTGGAAAATCAATAACGTTGGATTATCTCGGGAAATAATTTAATAAATTGCCAGCTGTTTCTACAGTACATAAGTGAACTGAATTGTGTGCAATGGAATTATTTTTGACATGCTGACATGTATGCTTCTATCAATCGAACCCTGTTTTTAGGAAAGCATTTTATAATGGAATGCACTTGGTGTCAGTAGTGTGAGACTAGTGCTTTGTAAAGATACACTGCCTACCTTGACCAGTTGGTTCTCTCTGACATGTTAATTGGATTGTGTGTTTTTTGTGCAATGAGGTGTGAGTAAATAACTCTTTCAGTAAATATTGCTTACAAAGTCCAGTCAGAGTGCTTTTCTGAGCAAAGGCGTGAGATTCAGTCTGAGATTGTGTTTCCGTTAGTTTTCCTTGTATTTGTAGAAATTGCTGCCTATGACAGTGTCATTTTTATTTGGAAAAAGACTTTTAAAAATGCTTGAGCATGTACATGTATGAAGACCGAAAACTTCATGAAAAGTTAACGGTAAAAAAATAAGACCTGTTATTTTAGTTTAAAAAGGAAAAATAAATCAATGAATTTTGAGAAGTAATGTTACCACGAAACACAGTGCTCTCTGAATATGACATTCACTGTCACAACTCATGCCCGGCTTGCTGTGCTCTGGTAAATAAAGGATGGACAAGCTAAGCAGTACTAGAGATGTTAATAAACAAACACTTCAGTGATCAAGTAAATCAGTGATGGTATGAATGTCTATGTGCATTTACTCTGTCCAGCAGTGAAGGTGTGAAACCCTCCTGATCTTCCTGCATGGATTATTAAGCTCTTGTTGCTTAGTTACATACATGTATGTGTATTGTACCTGTACTTGTCTCTCATCACTCCAGCAGTTAGTGCGGTAGACTGCACTACAGTACCATGGGGAAGGAGTGGACAAAAATGTGTACATGCACATGTACTTTCCATGAGCAGTTTCTTAATTTTTCATACCCTAACATCCCAAACTATGGAGCTCTGAAAGAGGAAGATTCCAAACTGTTGATATTAAACTTAATATTTCCAAGTCTGTGTACTTCCTAAAATGCAGCTCACCAAGTGGTATTGGTGTTAGAAATGTGTACACTGTTTGTTGAAGTGATTAAAACCCTCAGAAGTCATTTTGCTGCATTCCTCTGTGTTGACAATGGTATGTACATGTGTATGTAGTGTTCATTCAGTAACTGCAGAGAAAATTTGACTGAATGAATTATTGAATTGAAGAATTAAATGGAATGGAATTGCATTTAAAAGAACACGTGTGGTGTTGTGCTTGTGGTATTGGTACCGGCACATACACTTATTTTTCACTTTGTTGACTAATCAATTTGCGCTAGTTTGAAGTGCATGTATAATGTACCATAACAGAATCAAAGTGTACTTGTCTTGGTTTAGAAGATATTTGTTTCTACCATGATGGATTGGAGCTTTATTTCGACTTTTATTTACACCTCTTGCACATCCTTGAAAATTGATGTACTTTTAAATACATCAGAAACTGCCTTTTTGATCGTCGACAGAAAATTGCTGATTTAGCCCTCGATGTCCAGGGGGTTGGCATCGACCGCCCGCCTATACACAAGGAAGCTCACAACTTTGGCTCACCGGTTCAGCAGGGTGCCTCATTGAAATCATCCCTGGGGAACTACGAACTGGAACAACCTCCTCGCAAGGCTGGCCCTGGGGAGATGGGGCTCCCAGTCCGAACCAGTCCAAAGGAACAAGAGGCGGAAGAGAAGAGCATTAAGGAGTACGGTTTCAACCAGTACGTGAGCGACAAGATATCACTGGATCGAAATATACCAGATCTGAGAAATGCACAGTAAGTTGGCTTTATTTACAAATTGATTTGCAAAGTTTTATTTTTAATATTCGAAATAGTAAACATAAAAGTTGGGGGCTAGTTAACATCGTTTTTATTTTTGATATTTTTAATTTGAAGGAAGATTGATCAGTGTATAATATCACCCAGAAACAGAAAACTATTTTCTAGTTTTGTGCATAAAATGGCTTCTTTATACCAGTATGGTTCTCATTTTTTCATTTCTCTTGTTTGCTTTGAAGCCTCAATGACTTGTGGTGTCAGTAATTACAAGACACTATGTTTGATTGACCTTGAACTTTGCAAGTGTACGGTGTACTTACTGGCATGGGTGTAAATCCCTCTCCCTTTTGAAAGAGGAGGGGATGGGCTATTGAATTGTCCCCACTTTTTATACAGTGTCATTTCCCCCCTCCCACTTGACTGGGCAAATCATTTCCCCTTACAATTCCTTTCCTCCATCCCCCCCAACAAATTCACAACATTGCTTAATGGTAATATCACAATCAAATATTATTTGACGTGTATGAATGTGCCAATTTTCACTGAAATCTGTTGATGTGCTGTTGAGATCTGGGAAACCTTTTCCCAACCCTTGTTCATCAGAAGACAAAAGTACAAACAAAACCAAACCCCCCCCAACAACTGTCCTCATCTTCTCCAAACGTACATGTACATTGTATGATATCATCATGTTCTAGCCTTGATTTGTGAATTAAAAAGATGAATGTTGTCAGAACAGGCTTTATTAGATTTGAGGCCTCATTGCACACTTGCATACTGTAAATCATGTCTGGTCTCTGGATTTATTGGTGGATTAACGGGTATATCCCTAGTGCGATATTCCCTCCATATTCTCCCCATCCCTGCAGCAATTTGCATTAAGTTACCCTGAGGTTTGATTGCTCTGACACCCTAGTCATGTTCATTAAATCGCACTCTAATAGGGTTAAGATGTTGTGCATGTACCTCTGCCATCAGGCCATGGAGAAATATTAATTTGTTTTGCATCATTTTTCGATTTTTTTGTTCTTAAGCGAAATAATTTCAAATGGGAGTTGGAATAGTGAAAACATTCTGGCAGCATTGTGTGGCCAACGGAAGTAGCCATCTCTAAAAGGGTTGTGATCTTGGATAATAAGGTGGACTTACATGTATTAAGTAAAAAAAGGATCTGTCATTCTTTATTAAACTGAGCAGGTTGCTAAAACATTCTTTTCCTTGGCTTGTCTCGATCAAAATTTCCCACTTACGTAGCAGTAATGTCCGCAGGTGGATCGTGGTCAAAGTGTTTTGATGAGAGGTGTGATTTCACCTCGGTAATATTTCACTGGTGGGGATGCGAATGCCATTTGGCCAGGATCCAGAGATTCTGTTAACACCTTTTTCATACTGATTGAGTTCTGCATGATGGCCACGATGATAAACCTCCAATTTATTCAGCATTTCTTCACATGCACATGTACCGGAACCATCTGTTAGATGTCAAGTGCACTCTTATCAGAACTGTGTTGTTGGATTGTAGTGATAGGTGAAATTTGGCTAGATATTACAAACATAACCTCAATAAATAAGTTGGTTTGTTTGCCTCAAATGCCCTTTTAAAAGAAAAAAATTGTGAATGATCCAAGGCAGTTTTGTACAAAATATGTACTTGTACGTATTTATTTTCCTTTGTGCCTTGTGCTGTTTTGTGAGGAAAATCTACCCTAATGAAGTTACAGTAAAAGGTAATAAGTAGATGGTGTGAAGGAAACAAAAAGCACTCAAATACTGTCCATACATGTACAATGTACAATGTACACTACTCAAAAAAGGTTAAGGACCACTTTTTTCTTAACGTATAATTTTTTCCAAGTAATGAGTGAGGTCTAGTTCTTTCATTTTTTGTTTGTCAAGATAGTGTTCTCATTGAAATAAAAAATCAGAAAAATGTTTCAAAACATCAAATGCACACTTTCAGCATTAGAATATCTCATTTGAAAGAGTATACACAAAATAAAGAGTAGTCTTTAAGTTTTTTCAGCAGTGTACCGGTACATGTACTGTATGCTGGAAGTGTTCCTGCTTTACAAATATTGTTTACATTGTAAGATGAGGAAACGTGTACAACCCAAAAACATATTGTATCATGACAGTGTAAAGAAGAAAGCGTAGAAGCAAACACGGATGTCATGGAAAGCCATGATGCAACACATGTATAACTGCATGTGTCTATATGTACACATGTAATATGTACGGTACATGTACATGTATTGCATTTCATTGTGCATATTTGTCTTCCAGTTATTGCAGACAAATGAAAAGGCAGTAGCGGCTGCCCATGGTTACAGTTCGCCATGGAAAAATAACCATCTTTACAAAGAAAACAATAAAGACAGCTTGAAAATTTTTGATTTAGATTTAGTGATAAATGATGGAGTAAAAAGCTTCCACAGTAACAAATACATATATGTGTACATAAGTATGTAGATTTATTTCTTCAAATTCAATGAAGAAGAGCTTTGGATAAGCTTTATACGTGTACAAAGTACATGCATACATACATGTAGCACAGTTTAAACACCGTTCAGTAGGCTGGTACATGTACATTTTTTAATTGACATTACTTAAACCTTCAGTTTTCCACTTGAATGAGATTCCTCTTTTGTTATAACTCATTCTTTTGAACTTCTTGATCAGATGCAAATACTGGCACTACCCAGAAAAGCTACCAACGACCAGTGTCATCATAGTCTTCCACAATGAGGGCTGGTCCACACTGCTTCGCACGGTGCACAGCGTCATAAATAGGTCGCCGCCGGAACTGCTTCATGAAATCGTCATGGTGGACGATTTCAGCACCAAAGGTCAGCAAGACTTTGTAGTGGTTCCCATTTACCAATTAAAAGCCCAATTTCACATGAAGCAAGATATGAGACGGAGACTTTGTGTTGCTCATTGTTTTACTGGAATCTGAGGAATTCTTTTTAGACACTTTGGGGGGATGTGTTAGGTAACAATAGTCCATAGTGTGTATAGCGATTGGACATGTTCGGGAGGGGTACCCCTCGGTCTCATTTCTTGCTTGATATACCCAATTTGGTGATGATCAGCCCAGTTGTGGATCTGAGTGTGAAGATCTGAGGGTCTTTTGTTGAGTGCTGAAAAATTAATTCCTACAAACCTACCGGTACATGTACGTACATTGTACCGTACATATGCACGTGTAAATAATATAAATAATATAATATATATAATAACAATAATAAATTTCATTGCTTGGATGTAACAACTACAATTGAGTGGCTTCCTTACATGTACATGTACTGTATAAAGTCAGCCTTGAAACTCTGACTCATGAGACATTGTTGCTCATGACACACTCATTCACATGTACTTTCCTGTAGCTTTCACAAAAATAATCGTAGGATTTTTAGCTGTGGGATTTTAAATTTCAGATTGTTGTTTTTTCTGTCATTTGTTAGCATAGTGGAATGATGTCAAACCATATGAAGGCCTCCCTGTAGTTAAAGTAAATTCAAAATTCCAAATTTTATTAATAAAGTTGACTTTTTGTTTGTAGAACTTTGTCCATTGACATGTACATGTACCATACATGTAACTTGTTGAAAATTTTGAAAATATGCATACATATTCTCTGTCTCATTGAGTCTTACATGTACATGATCATCTAGGAGAGTCTCCCAAAGACCAAGGTTTGTCTTGGCTGGAGTGGTTCAACTCAAGCATGTCATTTGAGGAGCTCAGTGGCTTGGAGCTACTCAAATGATATGGGGCTATGTAGCACAACTTGGGAGAGCTCCTCAAATGTGGTCTTAAACTGAGGCACAACCACTCATATACTTAGCTAAAGATGTCAAAATGATTTGTGAGAACGATTTTAGATAAACCAACCCTAGAGGGTTGAATCTCACTGAAAAAAAGACCTTCCAGGAGTGTTGATTTGTATCAGTGTCAATCCTGAAGGCATATTCTACATGTAGTTTGCTGGAGTGATGGTTTCAGGCATCCTAATTTAACATTGTTCATTCTGTGAGTAGATATTTTGTTTGACCTCCTAGGACAAGTTGAAGTTTGTAGTTAAAATGCCCAAAGTAGAAACCATAAACTTTTTGTAAAAACCATAAGCTTTTTGCTGGTCAGAATTGAGCACACTCATGAAGTCAAAAATCAAAACAACCAAATCAAATACATACATTGTAAGAGCTGACCTGTCATGGGGCTTAAAGGTTGATACTGTAGCTTTAACTGGTAATGGTACTGATTTCATATACAGTACAAGTATTGACGTGGGATGAACAATATTGTCCATTAATTAATAGTATTAATACTGTATAGTGCTAACACACATGTACTGGGCATGCTGACAAAACAGACATTGTACATTTGCATGTACCGTACATGTATGTGTACAGTACTTGGAAACACCTGTTCCACAATGATAATGTACACGTGTACATGTACAAGTCCCTCCCTTGGCATGCACAAAATGTTGAATACTGTGAACGTGTCAACTGCAGTAGTTGTACGAGCTTGTAGCAAAAGGGTTATGTCAGAGTTAATTTTTCCTGAAATGGAAATTGTTTAATATTGACGTGAGAATTTGTAGATGGGTGTTTTACAGAAGGTGCTTTCTTGTTTCATTACATGTACTCTACAGCACCAGTAACATAGACAGGTTAAGTTGGTGCTTGTAGCAAAACTGGATAAGGAAAAATTTATTTTGAGGAACTGCAAACTTCACATGAAAAAGTACACATGCACGGTATCAAATGGTTTATATTACACTGATGCATAAACACTGTACTCATAGAGGTATTTCACATTAGCGCCGTCTACGCATATCCGCATCGAAACCGAGGCTCTCTGTGTTGAACTTAATCGCGTGTGCCCGCGGAGTCGACACAGTACATGCATTATCCGGTTCGTAAGTGTGATGCCACTTTAGTTTAAACCACGCCCACTGCACATGTAAATACATGTACATGACTATCGCAGGAATGTTAGTTTGGGGTAAATTGCCATTATTTTTTTCTTTTGATTTTACATATCGAGTCATCCTGAAAGACTCTTCCACAAAAATTTGCAGCCTGAAAAGTCTGACTTTAACATACCTTTATGTATTTTGTGTCTTGACTCCTTACTTTACACGTGTACAGCCTTGTTTTCAAATGCGGAAGTGCGCAGATTGACGCTAAAAGCGTCATATTGGGATCCCTCTATTAACACATGCTAATTTAATGTGCCAAAACGTTTGATTGTAGTTGTAATTTGGAAAAGTATGTACATGTACATGTACAGTCCGCGCACTGGTATAAACATGGGCTGTAAATGTAGCTGACCCTTATTTAGATACATGTATGCTGCTTAGTGCTTGTCAGAAAAGAGCCAATGATGCTCTTAAGCTCCTCTCTGAGATGGATTATGGCAATTTGTCATGCATGCACGCACATTTTCCATCACACTGTAGAATCTGTGCGCAGTTGGACACTAAAAAAAGTGCACGGAGTTAATTAGCCAGGACCTCAGTTGTGAAAGCTAATAATATCACTCGGGGCTTTTTTTCATTGTTTATGCAATGCAGACCACTTAAAGAAGAGACTAGATGATTATGTGGAGTCCCCGCAATTCATGGGTAAAGTCAAAGTCGTCCACAACAAGCGACGGGAAGGCCTCATCAGGACACGCATCATTGGAGCCCGGGCGGCCACTGGGGACGTGCTGCTGTGGTTGGATGCACACTGTGAGGTTGGCATTAATTGGTTGCCGCCGCTGCTCACACCCATCGCTGTCAATAGGTGAGGACTGATTAGAAGGACAGAATGGTTTGGATTACTTGTACACACGGGGAGGCTGTTGGTAATGGCAACAAGCAATGTGTCGGTTGAGCGAAACACCGAGAGTTTTTATTACACATGTATGTACTATCGCTGGCAATTTGTTCCACTGTAACGAGGATCCTTCCCGCCATACGGTACAGTGCTCAGTCACCTTGATTTTTTTTTCCTTCTGGTTGTTTGAATGGATGAAAAAGGTATTGAACAGGCTAGTCAGTGCTTGATTGGTTGCCTACTTCAGCCTTTTTATGGGCTGATTGGCTACAAGTTTTTGTCTGTTGGCCAGTTTGATGAAATGTATATTGAAAAGTGATTTTGGCTGGGGTCAAATGTTGTGTTTGGTTGCTACATGTACAGGGTACCCGTTGTTGTAGTTGAGTTCTATAACAGACTTACCTCCTACTTGTTAGCATTTTGTGGACACTTCAAAACTTCCGTTTCTTGGTTCGATATACATGTAAATTTCAGACTTAACATATTCTTCTCCATTTGTGTGTATTCAGCCTAGCAGTGATTTACCGTACATGTATGTAATATGTCACTCACATTCAGTCTGTTGATTGACTTAGAGAACATCATGCTGGACATTTGTTTTAACTGATTTTTTTTCTACCTACATGTATTTTGCACTGCAATCCATAGAGAATATGCCATAAGTGTCTCTGAAAAACTACTTGTACGCAAAGCTACTGAAGTACACGTACTTTACTATAAGGAAACTGCAAGGTACTGTGCATCCCTTCTTGTGTGAAGTGCAAAGTTTTCTGATGCCCAAATGAATCAGTCAAAAACCTCTTTTCATAAAGTGGAAGTTTGGAATACAAGAGATCTCTCAATATCAAATTGAAATTGTCTCAAAATTTTTTGAAATCAAGACACTACATGCTGTCTCTACAACTGTACAGAATCTTTGCCTGCATTATGACACAAATACTGAATTCTTGAACTCTTTCCCTTGTTTTGCCTCATTTAAACATGTTCAGTGAATCCCCTAGTAGACTAGATTTATTGTGCCTGAGGAAGCGGTCAGTGTTTGCGTGAAAGTCAACTGCTCAGTTTTCTTTGGAGGTCATGTGATGACGTGATAAAAAGCCTTTTCCTCTCTGAGCGATATCCAATGACTTTTGAAAAAGCTTTGCCAGTAGTGTTAACATTGTCACTTGGTTCATGGTCTCTGCTTTAGTATGTAATACATACCGTACAATTTCATGGCTTTTAATTACTACATGTATATACATGTATGTGTAGTGGCCAATGAACGAAGACACTGACACACATGTACATGTATTGTGAAATTACCAACGTAGGACAGGTTATCTCAGTTGCTACGTGTAGAGCACTGGCCTGATTTCCTGGTTTAAATCTCACTCCAGGCAATTTGTATATTCAGTGTGATTTAAATAGCAGAAAGAAATTTTAAAGTGTGTACCGGTACCTAAACTTTCTGTGAAAGAGTGAGAGAAATATTTTGTATCAGTTACATGTATATTCTTTAACCCTAACAGTCCTCAGTCCTCCAACAGGTGAAGGATTGAAGACTGTTAGGGTTAATTATAGCGTTCTTTGTATAACTGCAAAGTTGCCGTAAGACTTGGAGACTCATCCTACATGTCCATGTATACTCTACATGCACAGTTACATGTACCTGTTCATGTCCCTAAGTTGTATTTTAACCCTGTTAAAAATCACTAGAATGAGGAATGTGCCAAACTGTTATGCGTTGTTCATGTGCACTTTTTACAGCCAAGTACATGTACATTTATATTTACAAGATAAACGTCTTTAGGTCGCAATTGGTGATTTGGTGCCTATGTAAATATGAAACCTTGTGGAAAGTACATGAACATCATATTTCATTGGAGACCTCACCTGAAGCAAACAATCTTCTCCACCTAGAGTTGTTTGTTAGTTCTGTGCCATTAAGTCAGGAAGCACCCCTTGGCGTTTGATTATTGCAGTCTGTCTGTGTGTGAATCTAGGGGTCTGAGAGGAGCAGCTCATCACTGGTTGCCTGTATTGACAATGGATCATCTTGCTGCTTGAAGTTGAAGGTCGTAATTTAGTGCTCCCAGTCCCTGCTAATCCTGGTGCCGGGAGGAAGGCAATCAGCATAATACATGAGGCATGCTTTGTGATGGGTTGGAGATGATGGCAGTGACTAAACATGCTGGTGTCTTCTTTTGCCCACACTGTACATGTAGTGCTGTCAAGGAGGAGAAAAAGAGACGAAGATTTCAAATGCAATTACCCACAATATCGTAATATTCAATGATACTTAATTGGCTTGTTTAGGACCAGAACCTAGCTTTAAATAACTGCTCAGTGTACTTGATGTCAACACATGTAGACCCTACATGTATGTATGCAAATAAATATTATACAAATATTGACTGCTTCAATTGGTGATGTAAAACTAGCCTCCCAAGGTGATCCATGAAGTCTTCTACTTGTCCAAAGCTAAGCTCCTGTGATCACCAAGGGAGGCTAGGTTTACTACACCAAGAGATAAAGCTGACAATACACATACAGTGTACATGTACCTGTCTTGTAACACCCTTCTTACAGATTCTGCTTGATTTTATGATTAATTTCAATCGTATGGTACGCTACTTTTAGGTAGTCTCCCTGGCAAGAAAATTTGCCAACTTGATTTAAATTTATGACCAGTTTCACAAAGTGAACCTCAAGGACATTTTTGCCTTAATCAGTTAATCTTTTATTTGGTGCTTTTGAAAGAGCTACATTTATCTGATGGACCTCGGACAGAAGGGACATCTTTTCTTATCTGTGATTGAAAGGAAGTGAATTTAGGCATTTGTGAATGTGCCTCTGATGGTCCATTCAATTACACCTTGCTTTTTGGTGGTGGGACCCCCCCACTCAAATTTTCACGACTAGGCAATTTTACGATCGTGTCATCTCCTATCCCTTCCCACTTGTGAGCAAGGATTGTAGCACTGTTTAAGTGGGTTGGACGGGGAGGCTACATCATTTAGGCATTCGGGTCAGAAGAGCATATTGGACCCAAAGGCATTTGCACACAAGAGGCAATGCAGTATCATAGCCGGCTGCAGTAGATGTGTGGAACACCGTGTTGAATATTCTTGTGCTTGTAAGTTGTGCAAACATGACATGTACTGCCCCTAAGCACTGTCACGCCCACACAAAATATCTTGCACAAAGGGTATAATCACAGGTAATCCTTTATGCAGATTAAGCTGAAAGGTTTAGTGATGAGTGGACATAAAACTTAAAAGTGACTCAACCTCAAGAGCTTAATGTATAATGTACATTTACCGGTATCTGTATGATGCCGGTAAAAACATGCCTACATTTTTAATGCGTAGCAAGGAACTACCCTTCAACTTTGTAAGTACTGTTTTAAGGATCGAGTCATTTGTCCCTTTCTTCTCTGAAAATACTGCATAATATTATGTTCATCTACACGTACAAGTGGAGTGAAATTATATTGTGAAGAAATAAAGTTCTCTCTCCTCATTCTGGCTTCTTGCAAGCTATGTAAACCCCCCCTCCCCCCAAACAAAAAGAGGAAAGCTCAAAACATGAAATTTGAAATTCATTTACTCTCCATAATTTTTTTCTTTACAAATAGAATATGACCTCAGATTTATATGTAAACTTTCTTTTCTGGCTTCTTGCAGCTTCTTGCTTCTAATAAATCCCCCTGCCCAAAAGGAAAGTCTCACAAAATAGATTTTTAGAATAAATAGGTCATCCATATTTTTATGAACAACTTCTGAAATCCAAAGTTCTTTTTAGGACTTATACAAATTTTTTAAATGCTCAGTACTTGGGCATAAAACAGTGATAACGGAGTTTTGGCACAAAGAAACAAAGAAGTTGTGAATTTACTGGTATACACGTATCTTTGTTCTGTGGGCCCTTAAGTCCCCAATTCCTTGGGAGAATCTTCTGAGGGTGTCTGTGCATTCCGGTATTCAATAACTTTCAACCTACAGGTAATAGTGTCAGCTTAGTTAGTTCTTGCCTGGTCATTGGATGAACTTCCATGGTTTCTCTTGTTGATCAAACAGGACAACAGCGGTCTGCCCCATCATTGACGTGATCGACAACCAGAACTACAGAGTATACCCTCAGGGCACAGGTGACCAGGACCGAGGAGGGTTTGACTGGAGCCTTTACTGGAAACACTTCCCCCTCCCGGAGTTTGAGAAAACGCGGAGAAAATATGAGACGGAGCCCTACAGGTAATGGTGATCTTCTTATGAACAGTACGGAAATCGACATTTTTGGGAAGAATTTACATGTACCAGTACATCTTTTGGCACTCCACTCATTCAGACTTACACCTTTTTTAGTGCAGATAACAGTTTCTCATCTGTTACCTTTTTTTATGTCATCGTAGGTAGAAAACCACCGTACAAAGTCATGTTCAATTTGACATTCCTTTTTTTTTTCTCCTGTCTTCGTTGCATGCTTGAATAGCATGAGTTATAATTTATTGGGGCACTGCTGTGTGTCTTTGTTGTTGAGGCATTTTGGGAGAAGTGGAGCTCCCATGTACATGTACAATGTGTGTATTCTCAAGTAATGCACCTGTCTGAATAAATGTGCTTGGGAAGTTTCCTCAATCACAGATGTTTGTAGTCGTGGTTCATTTGTTTTTCCAAGAAAAAGTTACCATCGGTTGTGCACAAAAAATTTCAAACTTTAATTGGCAAAGTTTTTAGAGAGTAAAAAACAGCCCAAGTGGGTAGACCAACGATATGCTCATGGAGACGAAACTTTTTTTCTAAACTTCCTTGGAATTAAAAAAAAAGACTTGCACAGGTGTAACTTGTTTCTGTCCTTGTTACTTGATTTCTGCACTCGTCTTCTCAGATCACCGGCGATGGCAGGAGGCCTGTTTGCCATGGATCGCAAGTTTTTCTTTGAGCTCGGAGCCTATGATGAGGGACTAGAAATCTGGGGAGGAGAAAACTTTGAACTGTCCTTCAAGGTAGATTTGAAGATGAGCTGAGCTGAAGATGGATACAGGGGCACAAAGGCATTTTTGTTATTCTGTTGTTCCTCAAGTTCTAATGTCCATATTTCTTGTCATGTTCATGAAAATTGATCAACATCATTGATCAGTGGTTCAGGATTGTATACTTTAATCAAGGTTTCATCAAGATATCTAAAACTGTGCTGTTCTGGTCATTCTACAATACATATATACATGTATGTATACATTGTAGCCATATGTGTGAATTCTGCCGGCAAAATGGGGCCCAACCAAACAAATGAGGCACAAATTGCCAGAGCCACATTTGACCTGACCTTTAAAAGAATCTTGCACAACGTAAATTAATAGAAACCCTCACCATGTTCACCAGCATATACTACCCACTTTCATCAAGATGCCAAATTACATTGGTGATGTATCAAATAAAGAGCGCAGTTTGTTCATTCTAATGTAAACTAAAGTACTCAAACAATTGGCTTTAACCACTTCCTGCCGGAGACTCCGGGATTGGAAATGTATGGTTTATATGCATGGCCGGGGTCTCCGAACTCGGACAAAGGAAACAGGGCCCTGTAACAAAAGACTGTACTCCGAACAAAAGACCAGGCTGCTGGGCATTACCAACATTTTTCACTCTCCAAAGTGGTGATAATCAAGCCTTGTTTTGAAACTGTTTACCAGGGTTTGGGGCATTGAGAGCAAGCGGATTACCACCGGGGACAAAAGCGCTCCACCTCCACAGCGATGAGCCACACAGCACCGCTGCACACTAATCTGGCCCCTATTGAAAAGAGGTCAGCAGTGCACTGAGCCAGATTCATGAACAAAAGAGAGTTATATAATACCGCACAATCTGGGCTCTGTTTACAAGGCTGCAGGCCTGGCTGAAATACTCGGGTGTG